TGTTGATTGTTGCTTGTTGTTTGCTGTTTGCTTTTTGCTGTTGTTGTTGTGGTTGTTGTTGTGGTTGTTGTTTGTTGTTGGTTGTTGGTTGTTGGTTGTTGGTTGTTGGTTGTTGGTTGTTGGTTGTTGGTTGTGGTTGTTGTGGTTGTTGTTGTTGGTGTTGTTGTTGTTGTTGAAGCACTGGCAGCCAAGACCTAGAAACAAGCTTGAAAACGATAAAAGGTTAAGAAATAATGTCAACGACGAACTCAACACTCCCTGGCAGCCAGGGAACGCCGTCGCGGAGGGCTCCGGCCTCGAGAATCCGAGCGGCCCCGGTCCTTCGAACAAGTGCAGTTCTTACGTTCAGGGTTTGGAGCATGCTCCGTAGGAAGGCGTTTGAAGAAGAGTCACGAGGGGTTAAGTTCTTTCAAGCCTCGCAGCTAAGAGTACGCAGGCTGATTTTTCTTTGTGTGCTTGTCTTTCCGTCGTAGCGAGTGGTAGTGTGGTGGTAGTGGTAGTGATAACGGTAGTGAAAGCGGCACCGGTAGCGTTGCGGGTAGCAGTAGGAATCATGGTAGTGACAAAGGTGCGTGTAGCGGCAAGGGCAGTGGCAGTGGTGAGGTCGTGGTAGGGTAGTGGTAGTGGTAGTGGCAGTGTTGGGGCGGTAGTGGTAGTGGTAGGCAGTAGTGGTAGGCAGAAATGGCAAGTTCGCGACAATGGTCGTCATCCCCAAGAAAATCTCCTTATTAATCAGCGTCTTCATCCTCATCATCGTCATCGTTGTCATCATCACCATCATCATCATCACCGTCACCAACCTCATCCGGATCGTCCTCATCATGATCATGACTCATGACTGTCAGTACCATCAGGCTTTGCGAACGCTTCCAACAGGATTGTGTATAGTCTATTCATCGTCAGATCATTAAGTTCTACGTGTCGGCTTTTCAAAACTAGCTCGGGACCCGTCTTTGAAGAAGGGTAATGCTCATGTGAGGAAGAGCGTCCCGGACTGCGAGAGTGCGGTGCTACAGCTCGGCCCTCTATGCTGAACCCTCTCTGGAAGGATGCAGCGTCAGACCGTCCTCGTCTCCGCGGAGCTTCTCCTGAAGAAGTTGTGGAGACCCGCTTGGATCGTTATCCCCAACACTGGAGACCCCGCCTGTACCAACTCGTTGACAAGCCGCTCTGCTGCCTCTAGTAGTTCACACAGACAAGTATCCAGAATGCAGCAGATCCTCCGTCGCTGCTTGAGTGGTTTTAGAAACTTTTTGGCGCTGCAAACCTGCGCGTCCTGAGCCATGCACCATGCGGCCCGTGTTGGCGACTTTGGATCCTGCGCACATCCCACATGGAAGGCACGGCACAAAGCTCATAGCCTCAATAGCGCATGCTGACAGCCTTGAGTGCTGGTCGTGCACAAGACAAAGCAACGGACCATCGAGAACATGGCAAAGGCTTACTGCCAGCCAGCACTTAAACTAACACACACACACACACAAACAGGTTTGAAAGGGCATGCGATCTGCATGCTGCAGACGAATCATGGACGCAGCCAGGGAGAACAAGTGCTGCTGCACTTTCGGAGGGACCTGCTTCGTGGCTGAAGATGCAAAGCCGCTCATCACCACGGCCGTCCAAGGCCATAAACATGTAAGTGGAGGTCCTCGGAGATACAACATGTTGAAGCTCAGGGCTACAGAGGAGAAACCTACTGACCTACTCTGGCTTGGTGAAAACACAGACTGATGTAGCAAGAGCTTGATGCTGAGATCTGAGTTCCGGTGCTCGTGCTCCATGCGGCGAAGCTCGGAACCCCGGTTTCCGGTGACCCAGCCCTTGCCTGGGTGCAATGCGGGCCAAATGCTGGAGACTGGAGATCTTGCAGGAAGCCCTCTGCTGCAGTCTGAGACGAGCGCAATTCGCAGGAATGTGCATCTCCTCAGTGTGCTTCAGGGATCTTGTACGATAAGACTCTAGCATCGTCAAAGGCCATCTTGCAGCAAAGGGGCTGTGCAGTCCTCCCGGTCTGTCACATCTGGTATGGTCACGGCACCTTGCGGCTTTCAAGGCGAAACACATTTTCCGAAAAATTGAAATCTCCGCCTTTCAATTGCTGTAGCAGCCAGCCGATGTACTCCTTGCAGCGGCGGCGCTCCTGACAGAGCGAAATTCTCTGGCAAAGTTTGTTTGGCATGCACACCGTTGGCAAGCTGTCCTTTCCGATACCGGCCATGAACGCATAGCGCCCAACGAACTGGAGGATGCAGCCAGCAGCCTGCGACAGCGAAAGCATCTGTCAGCTATCTGTGCTCTGCATGTAGACCAGTGCCGGCCAAGAGCAAGAAACTCAAATTTCAGGAGGATCCGAAATTTATGGGCAAGACAGCTGGCTACAACATGCTGCGCCAACCCGTTTGTAAGGCTTCTCCCAAACCCTTTTGTCCGACAGTGCTCATTGGGATTGTGCCCCCCAAAACCTTCGCAGAGCCTTCGGGGCTTCCTTCCCTCGTTGCTCCGACTGTCACTGCTCCCTACATGCCCTGTTCTCAAGCTCGTGTTTTGGTCCCCCCAGGTCCCAGTTCCAACTCGGTTCCCTCTCTACCTCTATCTACATGTTCGACGGTCGAACTTTCACTAACCGCATAGGAAGCAGGAAACCCCGATGATTCACACCGGGGATGCTGAAAGACCTAAGTGATAAGTCAAGCTACTCGTAACTAGATGGTAGTCTCGCCGGACAAATTAGTGTGCTTCCGCGCCCGACTGCTTGCCTTTTCGATTTTCTTCTGCGTGGCAGCTTCCTTTCCGATGACGTAGCTCAGCTCATCTTCTTTGATGGCCTGAGCTCCCAAAGTCTTTCTGAAGCAGGGTGGCATGTCTGAGTAAGGGAAGAAGCCGGACTTCTAGCCCTTGAGTTCTGAGCTTCGCGCCATGCGATCTGTGTCAAACCCTCTGCTGTCGGAGAACTTTTCCCTGCCGGATGTGATCTGCAAGACGGTGCTCATGCAAAGGCACGTCCTCGCGCATGACCTGCCGACCTCATTACCTCCACTATTACGCGTTCTCGGGCGCCTCAGGCCCCTGGAGAAATGCCCAGGTGCCTGAAGCAGGGGCGAAAGAAGCAGAGTGCAGCGGGCAGCAGTGTAGCGGTCCCCTTTTATTGCATAAAAGGCTGCTTGATGTCTTTGCAGGAGCACTGCCCGATCTTCCCCAGCGGCCTTCTTCTCAATTTCATTCATGCATTTGAGCTCAGCACCTCACGGAATGAACAGACACAGCTGTCACTCGTCTCTCCCACTGTCGGAATGGCTGCTGGGCAGCGATGTGTGTTGTTTCCACTCACACTGGTGAGGAATTCAAAGACAATGCCAATATGAACACACTCAAACACACAGGTGCACTGTCTTCGTTCCAACTAGCCCCGTCCTCTGTCCGTTGACAAGGAGAAACGTTGCTCTAAATGTGCTCGATGCCTCGTCGGCCACGCTCGTTGCCGCAGATGATGAGCTTCTCCGCCTATGAGACTGTGAGGTCCGCACTTCGTGGGCGTCTCTGCAGGGAGGAAACCTGTAACAAACAACTTAACTCATTGCCTTACGGGGCCTGTTGCTTGCCGGTTGAAGGCCAGACTCGCACCAACACGGACTCACTGATAAACTCGCAATCAAACTGGTCGCCCAAACCCTGCAAAAACTGCACGAAAACAAAAAGCATGCTTTCTCCATTCAACCCTTCGTCCGACCTGACCGGCTCGTCCGCCCTTGTCTCCGTCCTTTTGTTCTGTCGGGGTTTCGAGTTGAGAGCGTGCGATCTTGTAAGATTTTAGATTTTCGTGTTTGGGAGTCAGGTCTTGGGCGTATGGTTTGCCAGTGCTTGAACAGCATGCAAGCGATTGGAGTCTGCAGACTTGCATCACAGTGCACAGGTCCTTTGTCATGAAGAACATGAGCGTCCCCCACTCCTGGGCATGCGGACAAGAATTGGTGGATGTGTGCCGTGATTGCAGAGGAACCTACTTCCTTGTACTGTACTTGCATATAGTTTGCATAGCATTGTCTTGTACATCTTGTCTGATGTGTTTGCACATGTGTGCATGCGTAGAAATTTATGTTGTACCGTGCCGTACCGCAGCCGAGGTACTTCCTCCATTCGGCCCAATGTAGCGCGGCGGCTACCAGTAATGTAACCTTCAGTCTCTCTACATGTCGACACTGCACTGACTGATTGTGCTTCCAGCTGCCGGGAATCACGTCATCACTAGTGTTGAATCCACAGTAGCTGGAGCTGTTGATGAAGAATCTGCGAACTTGCATGCAAGCGTTTGTTTCAGGCCAAGGATGGTATTGCTGTAGTGTTGGCCATGGACCGGTTCATGATCACTGAAGGCCGAGGTGCCGATACAGTCCGAAGGTACCTCAGCGCAGCACAGAATTGGCATGCAAACTCCCACAATCATCAAGGTGATCTAAAGGCTGCACCAAGACGTAACGCAGATTGGCAATGCTGAGGTCCGCACATGTACGACACCTTGGAGACGAACTATGGCGGGAAGAGAAGAAGATATTAGCGTTGCTTAGGAGAAGAATACAAGGTGAGGATGAGAAGATAACCTTAGATTTCATGGATCCTCTCGTGGCGAGCCACACACGCATCAAAAACACCCTCATGTTCCGATGATCCGACATGCGCACATGTTCAACCCAAACTACGGCTTTGTTCTATACCGATTCCCACTGTGCTGTCCGGGAACAGCAGTCGTCGCGGTCCTCCCAACCGTCTACGTAGACGGGACCCTCGAGCTGGGCGAAGAGCCACCTCGCAACAGACCGGACGAGTGACGTGTGACGAGTGGGTTTAAGGTTTAGGGCGGCTCTTCAAGTTCCGGTCACAGGCTGATCACCCCCCACATTGGCCTATGCCTGCAACGAGCCTTTAAAACAGCGCCGAAGCCGTTAATGCGTCGGCGGCTGACAGCAGCTGGTAATCTGTCCGAGTGACTTCATGTAGTCTTTGGCCCGGCGGCGCTCAGCGCGCGTTCCAGAGAAGAGGCAAGTATGCCCAACGTACCTTAAGCATCTGAAAAACAGTAGGAACTTATCACGGAACGTCATACTCTACTGCAGGCCTTGCACATGGATGCTGAACAACGACAGGAACAAGCATAGCAGCTTTTACATGATGCTTGACGGAACCCTGGAAGCTAAACATCGACCAGCCAAGCTGCTGCACAATACATCCTGTAACAGACAAGTGTGATGGCAAACACTCTGCTGCAAAGCAGAAAATCAGAACGCCCTATGCCGTAAAACGACAGGCGCTAAACCCTTCCTGACTGGAGAATCACGCAGTGGATATCCCAAGGCACGATGCCATGATCTAGGCAGGTATTCTAGTGAGAGTACACAGGGATGTTTCGGGCTCTACGGTGCCCTGCTTACGGTCCGGGGTGTCGGGCCAGGAAGGGACCCTGGTCCTGACGCTCGCTCGAGCTTCTTGCGCGTACCACCCTGCTTGCCCAAGGCATAGGACAGCTCGTCATCCTTCGGGGGTCAGGTGCCCTCAAAAATCAGACCTTTGCAAGAAGCCCCGGGCGAGACTCAACTAGGGCGTGCCTGGAAGGTCATGGTGTCTGTGGACCATGTGCCTGCGGGAGAGAAAGCAAAATGTTGTGCATTGCTGCCTAGACGAACTGTGACATGCGGCTCGCATTCCTGGCGGCCTTCCGGATCCTTGCCTTTGTCACGGTCAATAACTTCATGCTTAATCTTGCCGAGGTAGCCTGCACGGGACAGGAAACAGACCCGGATGCCAGAATTGATGCTCCCAGTGCTCAAGACATCCCTGCCTGGACTCTTCGTCTCAATGGCACTTAAGACCTGCAGGACGCAGCGACTTCGGAACGAAGGCTCTGCAGTTGCTTCCGTTCTACTTAACTTCAGCGGCCTTCAGCTCTGCGCCGCGGCGGCCGCGAATGTCGCCGAAGATGGCGAGCTTCTCGTAGTCCTCTCATAGCAGTCCGAAGTTCGATCAAGAAACTCTACCAGGGCAGGTGCTCCTGTCCTACAGGCATGTGAGACGACGCCTATCTACTGGACTTACTCCAGACCAACTCACAGAGTGGATCTCGGATCACCTGTACAATATGCAATATGTAGAAAACACCACGCAAATGACCGGTGCCAGCGACTGCAAGCCTACTTCGCTTCGACTTTCACCCTCTGGCACAACCGGCCAAATCAAAGCTGCACTGATCTTTTTGCCTGCTTCGCTCGGCGCAGCTGGTTTGACATCGTCTGTAGCTGGTCCACTATCTGGGAAACGGATTCGGAAACGAGGGGCGCCGGAAATGCACGGCGCGAATCGACAATCCGGAACTGTGGGTCAACTTGCTTGTCACAAGGACCGAAAGCGAAAAGGGCTGATGAAACTACGTGCAGGCGCCTTCGGCCACACCGCTTGGCAGAAAAGTTAAGAGTTTAAAGGCCGAACTGCTGCATGGCATCCTTGCCGGTGGCCATCTCCGCGGCGAAGATGCCAAGAACCGAAATCATGGCCATGCGCCCGTTGTTCAGTTCCTTCATCCTCATCTCGTCGTTGTACATGTTCACGCCGAAGGGATCGCCGTAATTTCCCGGCTCCTTTTCAGGGTTCTCCCTCCACCACAGCTCCAGTGGGGCGCAAGCGAGGAAGATGCCGAAGAAGCCGAGCACGCCCTCGCCTTTGTCCATGATGGAGAAGCCAGCGGGAGCATTCTCGAAGAAGGGGAACTTGACGAAATGCTGTGCGACCAGCCCAATCGAAGCCATCATCGCTACTCTACCATGTTTGATCTCGGAGACACGCAGCTTCCTAAAGCCCTTCTCGTCGCCCACCTGGGTAAACCCGAGCGGATCAAAGAATCCAAGAGGTTGGGTGGCGCCGAACTGCTCGGAAGGCTGGAAGAGCGGTGGCTCAGCCTCGACGGCAGCTGCAGCGTTGGTCTGCGTTCGGGATCCACGCACGGCGGCCAAGCCGGCGCCCAGAACAGCGAGTGTAGCCAAGCCGTCCCCGGTTGTCTGCTTAGCAACGGGTGTACGAGCAGGAGCTGTTGAGGCCACACTTTTCCTCAGCTGGCTCCCTGAGCGGCCGGCAGAAGGAGTGACGAAAGCGCTAGCAGAAGCGGCAAGGCCGACGACAAGGCCTGCTGCTGCGAAGCGTGATTGCACGGCCGGCATGGCAGCCAACGGCAGCGAGAAAATTGCAGAGGCTTCTGTCTGAAAATCTCTTAAGCCAAAATGACTCACAGCCATTTTTCACCTGCATGTGTGCATGAATGTAGGTATGCACACAGCCGTGTGAATGAAATGAGTTACATGTTGTGACTATGCCCACACATTGACAAAGCTGTCCGAGGGCTTCAACATTGGGCTTTTGGAGCACAGCCCATTCGGAGTCCTTATCCCGCCGGCCCGAGCCCACTTCGCAGAAGAACATGAGGGTTCCCCACCTCAGGTGCAGAGACTCGCATTCGCATTGGGGCCGGCTTTCACGGAAAGACAGACTCGCTCTGCCAAGCGGCTCCTCTTCGATAGTGCGCAGAAAATTGCCTCCTCGACCCGTAACGAAACCAACCTTGACGGCTTGTACTTATGCTGGACTGTACACTTTGGCAAGAGCAGCCGGGTGGCGGGCACGCTTTGTAGGCTACTGCTTAATCCCATCTGCGAGACATAGAGAAACCAAAGCGCACCGGCCAAATGACATGCAGTCAAGCAGCTGTCTCTTGTGGAACTAAGAGCATGGTTAAGTCGTCATCATTATACCTGAGAGAGTCTGCATATCTCTGCGACTCTCTGGAGTGAAATAGGGGGATACACAGCTGAATAGAAGTATACCTCGTTGAAAGCAGATCAGAGGATCAGGCTGGAGTTTAGGATCAGAATTAGCGACAATTCGGGCACAGAAGCCATCTGTGTTGAAACTCCTTCGATACAGACTTCCCAAGCGAACAAGACTGTGCTTGCAATCAATTAAAGTGCCTGATGCGACCTGCACCTCAAATCTGCAAGCCTGACGTCATCCAAGTCACTCTTCGGTGATGTTCACAGGTCCAGTTCTCTGCGCCATGACTCCCTCACCTTGGGTGACGCAACTCGCGCTGTCCGCTACAACTGCTGCCTTTAGGGCATGCTCAAGCATGGGGTTTGACATTTTCAGACACATCTCACGCTGCTGGTCTCATTGCTTCTCTCCCAGGCCAGCGCATGACACTGTAAACTTTGCGGCATGCGGCAGTACTTCTTCGCCCGGCGCCGCTGAACCTTCGATCCCCGGATCTCCTCAGAGACAGCCACAGGGTTGCAGGCGGCTGCAGTCAAGTTTGTATGCTCCTTTGCCCCACAAATTAACCGGCAGACTACAGCATTGTGACAGGAGCTGATGAGAACACAGATTCCAACTGGTTCGTGGAACCACCGAGTTCGAAACCTTCCAGTCACGGCAACTTGGGAATGTGTCTTCAACAAACTGTCGCTAGATTATGCCCTTCCATTTGCAAGATAGCGAACTGTTAAAGTTGCCAGGCATTCCAGCCTCTTATTGCTCGCCGCTGCAGCGGTCAACCCAGCAGCAGCTGCTTCACGCCAAGCGGCCAGTATAAGATCTCTCTCGAAAAGCTCAATGTCGGCACCCGATACACGGGCGATCCTGGGACATCAAGAAAGCAAAAGGTGTCGGTGGCTTCTCACCAAGAGCACAAGATACGGTCGAGAGCTTGAGCCCAAACATCAACCTACGGCAACACAGCAACCGTGCCGAGCGTCTTTTCCTTGGTCTTGCCACCCTTACCAAGGATAAAGGCTGCATCGTCATCTGTGATCTTCAAAGTGTCTACCTGAGTGCGCAGGTTTGCCAAAGGGGACCGATTGAGGACCTTTCTATTCCGATCAGCGGTGAAACTATGCCAAATACAAGTTCAAACAGTGTCTGCAGCGCGCAAACTTGCGCAATTCGCTTTCTGCCACCGGGGACACGGGTCTTGTTGCTTGCTGCAGACCAGGTTCCAAGAGTACAAGTGCACAGGTTTTGCACATCGTCGCCCGGCAACACCCACGAGTCAAACTCGTTACGGTGGCGACTCCAGGGTGCAGTCGACAATGTCGGCCGTTTGGACAGCGTTTTGGTAGTGTTTCAGCCCATTCGTCGAATATGGGGTTGATGGTTAGTTAACTCATGGAAATGCAGAAAATTCTGGGGTCGTGGAAAAATTCCTTCACTGCACCGCAGCGGAGAGGGCTGGCATGCCCACTCGCCCAACTTTTTCGGCTACTTTTTTCAGAGGCAATTGGGGTGAACTGTCTCTTCAGACGTCCAGGCAGAGTCGCAAGTGGGACGAAGAAACGCTGGCGCTCAGCGATGCACTGCGCTAAATCGTGTTTAATGCATTACGAAGCTAGGACAGCTGGGATGACTAGGACCCAGAACATGGAGATATGCGACTGTTTGCTGCTATGCATCATACAGTATCAACACGCAACGTTGCACATTCTCTGGTGCTTCATCTGATGCAGTACAATCCTATACTAATCCTATACTCTTATCAGTGTGTATTCTTGGACTTTCAGCATTGGTTGTCTTGTTGTGCGTTGATCTGTCATTTGTTCTGTGTCCCGCATGCTATATCTGCTAAAAATGCTGCTGCGTACAAACAAATTTTAGGTTGATGATGCTGTCAAAATTCATGTGTCTGTGTCATCGCGGCTGTGATTATCGTCACTGTCTCGCATATCAAGTTTGCTGCCATTGCCCAGGAAGTCAACACAAGCCGACTTTCTTGTACATTGTGATGTAGCACTCATTTGCATGGCAGTGCAATGCCACACCGCGATATGCTTCTCTGTATTGCTGTACCGTACAGTAGTGACTGTAGTAGTCTCACTAGAGTGGTATGATACAACGAACCGGTATCTTGACATAGAAGGAGTACCCAAGGAGCCCCAGGCTGATTCCAGGCGAGATGCTCCATAGTCTTCAGGCTTCTTTTCTCTAGCGGCCTGAAAACAGGGCTTGCGCCGAGCTGAAGGCATTGACAAGAGAGGCCATCTGCACCAAGCTTAAGTGGCTTTGACACATTCGACATGCTGGAAGCAGCAGCTGAATCCAGAAAGACCCCAAGCGATGGCAACCGCACTCTAAAGACGACCGCGCAGGCTTTTCTCATGGTTCTGCGAAACAGCCGTACTTTAACTTCTCGCCAAAACTCTCCAGGTGGAGAACGCTTGCTGCACTGGGCCCCAAGTTGCCGAAAGGAGTAGCACAAATTTGCTGCATCCTGGTGGACCACAGTGTGTCTTGTGACCGGCTTCAAGACCAGGTGTTGCGAAAGCGTTGCAGGAAAGACCTAGACCTCAGCCAGCTTCATGGTGTTCCGCGGCAGCACCACCTGCTTTTCAGCCGGTTGAGCTGGCTTGCAAGCCAAAATCTGCGATTCCCAGCACCATCCATTTTCGGAAAGACAAGCCTATCCGATCCCCTCGAAGCAGACTTCCCAAAAACTGGCGAGTTGCTTTGCCGTCGTCTTTCCTGCTCTCGTTGCTCCACCTGACCAGACCCGACCAAACGACAGCAATATGACGGTTTGTCGTCTTGATCGTCCCCCGATCTGGGCAGATGGATGTCTGCATCGCCCGACGCATACAATTCCTGTTCGTCCTTCTCAACCATGCTTTGGCATGTTGCAAACCAGCCAGTCTGCAGAGTCAGGACCGTCTCGTCGTTTGCAGGCGCAGTCCAAAGGAAGAGCAGGGCTAGGACTCCGATGGGGAACGCCTTCTGAGGTGCACAGCCATCTCGACATGCGCAGAGCAGGGAAAGTGGTCAAGCAAGACGAGTCGACAAACATCGTGGGTCTTCAAGAGTGCTTCCTGAGATCATTGCATGACACTGAATGCAGATCGCACAGGCACTGCGGGGCTGCCCTGTATAATGCGTCGCCCTCTGCGGACTGCGTGCATCGAAGCCCTGCTCATCCCTGCTCTCTCTCTCAAGCCAGCAGATAGCCACAGCAGATCATGGCCAAAGGACTCTCCACTCAGACAAGGCAAGCGTCCAGATTGGATCGCAGTGCTTGTGGATTGCAGGAGACGTAAAGGACATGGTCATAGCCTGGCGGACAATGCCACTGTGGGTGACGCGACGCCACGCCCATCCCTCTGGCATCACCCGAGTCAGTGCAGCACAGAATGCCAAGACTGTGTCCCGATCTGCCTGCTACTGCCTCCAGGGTGACCGAGTCCAAACCGGCTCTCGGTGGGTCAACGACCTGGCCGCAAGCGTTCGGGATGAAGGCCACTGGTCCTACAGATTCCTACAGGTCTGCTCAAACTTGCTCCTTTCTCGAGCGTTGAGCGTCGACTTTGGGGCAGGTAACACTGAGGACCTCGGTGCCTGAAATTGCCAAACCTCTTCGCGAAAGCCCATCTCACGCATACAACCATAACAGGTCTGGACCATTGACCTCAAGGCCTGCACGGAATGAGGCAAGCAGCAGTGCATCCGAAGTGAAGTTGAAGAGGCCTTGTGGTATCAGGAGCCTGCACCGCTACGACACGCACCCCTCCCCTCCACTTTGGACAAGCGGCGGAGCATGTTCACTACGCAGTTCATAGCCACGGCGACGGAGCACCCGCCTGCAAAAGTCCTTGGTACTGTTGCAGCGCAGCTTCATATGTGAAAAAAGGCAAGGCAAAATATGGCAAAATGCAAGACTTTGCTGGCCGAAGTCTTCGGAGGGTGCTCGCATCACGGTTACATTGTCCAGGCCATTCGATGTCACGTTGTGCCTACGCACCGACAACAGCAACACTGATTCAATGACAGCATCCAGGGTGTCGTCATGAATCTCAGCGTAACGAGACTTTCCACCCAAGCGGCTTTGCAGCAGCAACCAGATGCCGGTTAATCCTGTGGCGCCGAACGATCACTCCACTGACTCTCCTGACACCTAACGAATACTTCTAAGAGACATCTGACCCTGGAAAGTCCCGACAAGCTCCGGCCTTAAAGCTTCTGGCGAGGATGGGATAATAAGATTTTTCATTGCAAGCAAGGCTCTCAACTGCCAAGACGTGCCGGAAAAGGGGTGCCAGCACCAGCGTATGGCTCCCGGCACCACAGTACAGCTCCAACAAATCCTTCAGTCAGAAACTGGAACGCGACGCCCACGCTGAGCACTGACTCAAGCACAAGCAGGCGAGGTTCCGTCGTGCCACCAAGCTCATGCTGGACAATCTCAGAAAGCCAGTCGGCAGTAGCGATCGCCTGATACTGTCAGAGCTCGACAATGGGAGTCACAAAGCTGCCGGCCACTGGCATCATGCAGGCTGCAACACCCTCCAACATGCTGCCGTTTTCCTGGGGCTGGTGCTATATGCGGGTTCGGGTTCGAGAACTGTCCGAAAGGCTGGCGATAGCCTTGGGAAAGCATCTTGCTCTCAAGCTGGGCTCAGGATAACTTTTGACCAAATTCCCACGGATTTGCGCCAGAATGCTCACGGGCCCTCGACCTGGAATCTCCAGAAGTTCATCCACAAAGTCACAGCCTGACAGTTCGGTCGGCCATTCGAGCTGCACTGACTCTCTAGTATTACACGCATCATCCCACAGTCCACACAGGGCGGCGCCCACACGGCCTACCTAAAGACCGTCCCACCTTCCGGACAGCATCGCATTGTGCCCTTGGCGGATGCCATCGTGACAACCTCCCATGACTCGATTCGCGGATGCAGCTCCAGGCTCAGGTGCTTTGCGGGTCCTCGCGTATCTGGCCGGGCCGCGAGTCCCGCCGTCACTGGCTTTCTTGTTCAACACGAGACTGCAAGGTAGAAACCAGCTCTTGATCGGAGCTACAGGAACCCAATGCACTGCTGCCAAACATCCGACGACCTTGCTGCGTGCGGAGCTCCGTTTGCATTGGAGACCGGAACATAACTTTGGATCTGCCAAGTACCGCTACTCGTCTAGAGCAGTTTCTGGCTGTGGCATCTGAGCATGTGCTCTAGGCGGTGCAGACTCGACGACTAACATGCCTTGCACATGTCGTGAAGTTTTCAGAGTAGCGTCGTTTGACTCGGCTTCGTCGTGAGGTGAATGAGCCTGCTTCTCTCAAGGAAACCAGCTTCCTGATGCGCTGCCCGTGTGTGGAGTTGTGCCGTTTGGAGACGAAGGGGTTCAACAGTGATCAAGTGTCGATCTTGCAGCGATAATTTGCAGACGCGCTTGGACAGTCGGGCTCCGTTCAGGAGACGGGGGAGTGGTGGCGCCGGGCCCTTTCGTGTACTCAGGCTCTGCCTGCGACAGGGGGCCCGGGTTGCACAACACACCGTTCGTCCATTGTCGCATCGGGTTTGCAACTCTAGCGAAGAAGAGAAATTCTGCTTTTAAGGCCGAAGTGATACTGCTCTCATCTGGCGAAGGTGATCCCCGCTGAGCGACGGCGTGTGATAATGTGTTCTTAAAGCAGATGGAACATGTCACAGTACATGAACACCCGCCTTGGTAGCTTGTCCCACTGCGCAAAGTGCATCCTCCAAACCTGACGCCGCATTCCGCGATGATGCCGAGTCTGCTCGGGCTGACATTGGAGCACGGTGGCATAGCAAGTGTCCCCCGTCAAGGCCTCCGAAATCCTGTTGACCCTATAGTCACTACGACTATGGGGGCCTTCAGACACACAATGGTCAGTGACACGAGCCAAGTGGCGAAGGCGCAGCTCCTCCAGAAGAAATCCTGCTCGTTGGTGCTGAAAGAATCTTCCAAGCTTTCCAACTCAAATCCGAAGCTTTGCAAAGCCCATCCTTCCGCGGGAGCAGCCTCGGGGCCGTAGACCAAACCTGGCTTTCGAGTCAAGGCCCGAATAAGTCAAACTCGCACCTTCAAGGAGTCTGAACGTCGCCGGGAAACAAACCAGCAGCTGAGGCGGTCTTCCGCCGAGAGTGCCGTGAAACTTCACCTGAAAGAAGTAGCAGCCCGTGTGAATCACTTCTGAGCAAGATATGGGGGCGGGTCGGTCCATAGAAATTTTACAATATTTACTCGGCCTGTTGTCGCCGATCGCCTTCTAGCAAACCAGTCCCGGATGCAGGGCATCGCACTATTACTGACGACTGCTACTGACACTATCTGCTACTGCTGCTGCATCCTATCATACTGTACTCACCGCCACATAGCACCGCAACTAGAATGCTTCCGTCCCGACACAATCCCTTGAGAGCAGTGACGGGGCACGGGGGGGAGCCTGTTCATCCCTCAGGCAGCGCACAAGGAGGCTGAAGACCTTTCCTAGCTTCAAGACGAAGACCCTCCGAGTCACGCAGCGCAGTCCCCGAAGCATCTCACCCAGCCGCTCCGAACTGGGCCAGGGAGCCGACATGAGCAGACTGTCTCAGGGTCGAGGCTGTAGCGTCCAAGCAAGCGAAGCGAGGCCTTCCCAGCAGGTCCGCCACAGCCGGAAGTGCGGCAGAGATCTGGGCGAGCAACGTTTCCTCTGGAGCTCATGCAACTAGCAAGTTCAACAGCTCGCTTGGCCATGTCCCAAGCATCCACACGCACTTGCTGCGTCTGAAAGGAGGCTCCTTGCTTATGTTAGCCTCAAGTGTGAGGCCGCGGCTCCCATCTGGCACGTACCTGACGAATCTCTCCGGGCTAGTCGAGGCAACCGAGTGGAAACCCTGCGACATGAGCCTGAAAAGACCCGCGCCGTCCGAGCCGTCTGACGTGGTGCTGGCTCCCACCTGCGCCGCATGTGTAACACTGACTTCCCATATTATTGCTCATTTCTGGTGATGACATTCGTTCAGATTATCCCAGCCAGTATTTCTAGCATCGCGCTTCTTAGAAAACCCATGCCCAGGATGAGAGGTGTCCGAGAGCTGCTTCCGAGGCGCTGCAACGATGGTCCTGTCAGCTTGCACGGCGCATGCAGCTGAATACGTTGCAACCGAAGGCTTCCGCTTGTCGCTGCAACTGTCGCTGCATTTTGCACCAGCCGTCCTGGCTCGGAAGTGTTGACGAGGCGACTCTCGCACCTCCTTGGACACTGGAACACGGGGCTGTGACTTGCAAAGAGGAGCAACCAAACATGTGTTAGGCAACCCGATGTTTTTTGCTAGAGCGAGCACCATCATGCCGAGGAACGAGTGCGTCCAAGGCAGCAGCCAAGCTGCCCTCGCCTGCACGTCAGAGGACACGTGTACTGGAGATGAAACAAACGACGGGTTTGTCCAGCTTACAACTCCTCAACTGGTTCCACCAAAACCTACTACCAGGCATACAGGCATGTGAATCTGTAGTTTCAGGACTGAAGGCTTCGGACGGTTTCAATATCGACTCTCCCGCCTCGCAGGGGCGCCAGCAGCTCATGCCTCAATCAGCTTGCATCAGATGTATCGTGATGAGTGCAGTGTGGGCTGGATCAGGGCTGACGCTGGGAACGCCGCACAGCATCCGTCTTCCGGCGCAGCTCGTCGTCGCCCCGACGGAGCGATGCGAAAGCCTCCTGCAGGATCCGCCGTATCCGCACCCGTAGGTCTTTTCATTCGCTATTGACACGCTCCTCTGTCGACCAGAGGCCTGCTGTACCTGGCAGTTGATTCGAGGTTGGGAGCCCGGAGTGATCTCACTTAGTCGCAGATTTACACACATAGACGACGTAGACCATGCTCTTGTGGCTTGTGCAGAAGCGGAAAGCACATCAGTGGCTAGACAGACTCCAACACTCAAAATGCCACATGCTACATGATGTCAACCTGCGCGAGTTTCAGCATCGCAACATCTGGCGGAGGCTGCTGCTTCAATATGCTGTGAATAACTTGTCTGTGCAATCAGGAGCAATGTTGGCAGCTACTAGAAGCTGTGCTAGGGTATGACATCCATGAAAAGGCACGCCAACCCCAGCCCAGGGGGGCACACGGCGACAAAAGGCAGGACGATTGATGCTAAACCACAGCTCCACATAAGTTCGACGCGACATGTGCGTAAGTGTTTGACCACGTGCACAGTGTGAGATGTGGTCGTCAGGAAACACCGATTGCCCTGCAAAACCTCGATGCCGTTGGGCTAGAAGATGAGACGCATACCGGTCTAGCTTCTTCGGGAGTTTTCGATGGAGGTCTTCCAACTCAGATATCACGGCCAAATGCTGACAATTTGCCGTACCAGCCTATCTGTAGAGGCCGCGGAATTGGGCACACTGTTTTTGGTACAAATCTTGTTGGACGGCACACCTTAGCAACATGAACTTGCAGGAGGTGCTTTCCCCATCAGGTTTCACGAAGCCCCGCCTGGCCACACACTCGAGATCCACACACAAACACAAACACACCCACACCAACGTTTCGTTCTCGACGATCTGGCAGCGGCCAACCCGAAGCGCCGGAATAGCACAATATTGCGCTAACACGCGAAACCCTAACGTGGAGGCCGCCCGAACCACCTTACAAACAACCGCTCAAACACAACGCGGCCCAAAGCGTGCTTCCCGCGCGCATAGAAGCTCGTAGATACGCATTCGCAGCATGCACGAGTGAGAGATTACAGGCTCCGTTGCAGCTCCGCATCACACCACGAACGTAACCTTGCTGCTGCCTGACAAAGGCACTCTTTCTGGCCACGTTGCTGGATGCAGCTGTCCCGTGTGAGTGAGCATGCGCTCTTTCCTGAGGCACCGTTTGAAGTCTAAACATCCTTGCAGCACGTGGGCGCCCAAGAAAGTGAGCAACCCTTCCCGAAGTATTCGAGCAAAGCCACATATGCACGTCGCAGCCTTTCCTCGGCACCGTTTGAGTAACCGCTGCGAGTCTCGAGCTCGCCGTTCTGGCCGTCCTGGGCGGTTTTTGTGCGATGCTAGGCCCATGCAATGCTCCCAATGCCAAACCCGGCGCCCATGGCCCCCGGCCTGTACCGCAGCGGCCGAAGGTGGGGGATCGGAGCGGTCGTCGCCAGGGCCGAGGCGGCCAAAGATGATGCGGTTGTGTGGTGAGATCTGAGAGTCGAACATCCGGAGCGCAACGCGGCAGCGCGGTGCGACTCGACCCATTTCTGCAAGGATCATGGCCGCACTGAAGTTCACGCCCATGGCTGTTGCTGCGGCTTGAATACTTCCGTCCGGATCTTTCGGGCAGCAGGGACAGACGGCAAAGGAGGCTTTGCGAGCCAGGCAGCAGTCCACAATCTCCCGCGCCAAGTGCTGACAAGCGTGACAGGCGACGACCAGCCTCGAACGAGGTCTGGACAGGACGCTGCTCTCGAAAAGCAACTTGCTTGCAAACGCACCGGATGCTAAGTGCCGACGCAAATGAACGAATGTCTTCTGCAGTCCAACTGCGATCCAGGCGCACGCTGTCATCACAGGCACGCAGAACTTCAGGCAATGCCTCGAGCCAGGCTCTCATGACGCAAGCGAGCACTCGGCTTGTTCGTAGCTACTTAGCGTATGTCTTGCAGCTCGAAATCGCTGCATCCGCCTGCCGCAAGGGCCTCTCATCATAGGACACAGAAGCGGTCTTTAGGTACTCGGACCAGGCAGCTCCTGGGAGTCTCCGGGAGAGGATGATGGACGATGATGGGAGTCACGGTGAGGTTTTGCCACGCATTTGGGTGCCAAGGCAGTTCTAAGGCTTTCAAATTTTTGGTTGGCATGCATTCGCTGGCTTGCACAGGGGGGTACAACCAGAACAGGAAGGGCAATTAGAGACAGGAACGGCGACAGCAGGCAATATGAGCGTAACGGCACAAGGGACAACAGAAATAGATGGACTATAGGAAGGCTTCGGGACAGGCTTGCATACTGCATTCCGATGGTGTTCACACAGAAGTGATGCAAGCTACCCAAATGCACGGCACCCCAATTTTTGAAGGCGAGTCTTGAAAACAGCATTTTTGATTGGAGTTCACACTGAAATGGTGCAATCATTCTGGGTTGGAAACAGATAGAGCGAGGTTGGACAAGGCGCCCAAAATGCATGCGACCAAAGTTTGAGAAAGAGAAACCTGAAGATTTAAATCAAGCCTTGAAAACTGCGTTCTGGACTGGATTTCACGCAACAAGGATGCAAGCCACCAAATTCTGCTAGATCAAAAAATTGAGTTGAAGCCTCGAGAAACTGCATTCCCGATTGAAGTTTACTTAAAAAGAGCTGCTGCAAGCCATCCAGATGCAGCCAGCCAATTAGAAGGGGATTGGACAGAGGAACTGCACACCGGAAAGGACAGGTGCAGATTTCATAGCCAGAACAAAAGAAAAGCTTTCAAAGTGGTCTGTGCGGAACTATGTGGAGAACTAAGTTGTTCGTTGGTCGTTGATGTTGTTGCCAATTGGTGACAAGTATACAGAATGGACCTCATTTGCGAGGACAAACGAAAATCTGCTACCTCTGCTTGTCTCATAGGATAGGCTAGATTAGGCAGTCTGGTTGGCTCGCCCGACGTCGCTTCTTACACGGGAAGAGTAAGGTAACTAGGAAACGTATAAACTCAGACCGCTTCCCTCATATTTGCGTGGTTTGTACGGGGGAAAGTGCAGAAACTCAGAATCGTGTGAACTGACATCGATTCCCTCACCGTCTCGTGGCTAGAGTTCGAGCTGCCTTTACACGAGATTTGCGCGGAAACTCAGAGACGGTTGCTGTAGCGCCGCTTGCTGAAAGCGTCAGGCCAGGTTTCTCAGGAGCTCGTGCGAAGGTGGCTTGGACTGATCGATGATCACGAGACGGTTTGCGATTCCGTGAGCGACGAAGAGCATCCCCAAACCACCGTGGCCGCCACACACCTCCACCACCTGAGCGTCTACAGTCTAGAGTCTACAGCATCTACGGTGCTGCGGCCGGGGGCGGCTTCGGTGCCTAGGCTCCCCGGCAGTCTTCGGAGCACATCGGCGCGCATCTCTGCGCACGGCATCGTAGAAGGCACACGCCTCCTGGAGCAGGGGAGCTGGATGTCAAGATCCTCCTTGCCTTGCCAGAACCGGATCATCTGAATGCGTACAGCAGCTCTTGGCACAGCGCAGTGAATTGCTGTCCTTCATTTCCTTGCTGTGGATTGCCCGACCCTGTGCCAAGAAGGAGCGCCATAGCTTGCTGCGAAGGCTCTCCTGCCAGCGGCGGGCGTTTCGGACGGTGAAAAATTACAGAATTTGCGCTGCCTGCAATCTCGAAACCCATGACTCGAAGCGTCTTCGTCCAGGAGCCTTGGCATGCTCCTCCGCTGCTTCCGGTGCAGTGCCGTCTGCCCCGTCCGCCATGCCCAGAGGGCGACAGAGACTCTGACAGTTTGATATATTTTGGTGTATGTAAATCTTCGCTGCACCATGAAAACTCAGAATAGAAGTCGCAAGCGTTGTCGGTCTGCTGCATTCAATGTGTGGTCCTTCTGCTGTGGAGTCGCTGCTTGAGCCAATCCACGATGCCCCAAGCAAGCCTACAGCACCTCGCGTCCTATGGGCAACCTCCATCTGCGGCCACGCTAGCTTCCCAAAGATTTGGGCTCGAAAAGGAGCCTCGCTTCGGCTGCGGCTTCGGTTGCCGGCATCGCGCCTCGCCGAAAGACTTGAGGCGACCACGTAGTACTATTAGTACTGCAGGTCAGAAGAAGTGAAGATTTAGTAGAGATGGTCACCGATGATCAATTGAGAAGACTTGTTCTTGCTCTTTCCTACCTGCGCAGGCATGCATACATCTGTGCCTATGCGATACCGTACATCCAAGCAAGCAGACATCCATCCTAACCTCAATCATGCCTTGCACCCATCCACTGCATCAATCAACTTAAGGTAGGTCTGCTTGTACTACAGACGGCCACGTCTGCGCACATGCAAACATGCGCATGTGGACGCCCACATGCCTCTGCATACCTGTTGCTAGCAGGCAGACAGACGTGGGCGAAGGTAGCAGAGTGATTCGCATGTGTACAGGACGGATACACATTTCGCATGGTGCTCAGCCTCAGCTGCAAGATGTTTGAATTCTGTAGCCTGTCCTGGCATGCCCAAGCCAGCCCCGGATCCCTCCTTCTCTGGGCCTAAATCATAAAGCGGTTTTCGAGGTCGATATATAGTCACTTGTTGCCTGCTGGTCAGCCCCTGGCCCGTACTGCGGTGTTGGGATGGAGGCCGCTCGACTCGAGGGTTTTACATGGTTTTTCGCTCAGTTCCAGATGTGGGCGTAAAGCTAAGCAAGGTCTTTGCTCAATGTGACAGGAATTTGCACAACTCCGAGGGCCTTCGGCTATCCTTGCGCTCCTCCCGGCGCTCTCGGCTGTCCCTGGAGACGAGAACTTGCAAAAGATCTCTGAAGATGTCCTGGTTGACAGACACGCCTGGTGATGTCACTTTCCGGCCTCCTGCGGCTGCGACTTCGGCTTCGATCGCCCATTGACCTGTCAGGCTTTCAGCTTGCTGTCCGGACTCACAGTCTGAATGCCTCTCTGTCCTGCGATGCAGCTGCCTGCCTGAGTGACGTTCAGCAGCCTGCAAGGAACAGAGGGGCAGAAGCTGCAGCCCTACACATCTGAAGTGCTGAATAGGGCTCTCAGCACCCCTTTCCGTGCCCGATGCCTGCAGGTCTGGAGGAAGTCATCCCTTGCTTGGACCTCCCTCCAAGCCAACAGCTGCGGGGTGCGAAGCGAGTGTTTTGTCGCTGGAAACGCCAACAGCCACGCCGAAGAAGCGCCAACAGAGTGAGAGGAGCTCGACTGCGAAAGCTGCGATTTCAGGGAGAAGTTGGCAGAGACGTCGACTCGCGTTCGAACTCCCGGAGCTGGGTCTCGAGCCATGGGGCCACGGCCCTCTGGCATGTCGAGGGACTGAAAGACTCCCAGAAGTCGGACGACTATGGTGTAACATGGTGTACTGGCGTGTTGAACTCTGACGACTGTTGAGCTGAGTGGCTGCAAGAGTCAAAAGAGTGACTGCCAGAGTGCTAGAGAGTTCCGGGGGTCGGGTCGTGAGGGCTTCAAACGAAACTTCCGGTCTGCTGTGAGCAGAGGTCCATGATCTCGTCGAAGGCAACTCTCGAGTTGGGGTGCAGGTTGTTGAAGGCGTAAATCCTGACAGGCAAAGCCAAAAGGCGAAGGCTTTTAATCAAAGAGACTCTTTGTCTGTACTTTGCACTGTACCTTTGCCTCTCCAGGTGTGCATCGCGGTGTGCACCTCAATGGAGCTTCTGATTTCGCTTTGAGCCCCTGCGGGGTCTCTCAGCATCGCAAATGCAAGCAGCTGTGACCACGGCTACGCATGTAGGGCGACAGGGCGCTGAGGAGGTCTGTGAGCTCCTCGCGCGAAACAGACCTGTCGGCGGATGTGCAGCGACTGGACAATCTACCCTGTAGCGCCGCACCCTTCTTGCTCTTCGTCGTACATCATGAAGGCGAATCTCACCTGAGCACAATTCCGACGTTCCTAGAACCAACGTCAGACAGACGGACAGGCAAACAAAAAGCAAAGGCACAGGAGTGAATCGAGTGCAGGCGTGACAGAAAAAGAGAAAGGGAATGAAGATCATAAAAGAGTCAAAAGCAGAGTCAAAAGCGTTTCGAGAAAAAAGCGGGTCACGGGCACCTGCTGCTGTGTGTGATACAGGCTGCAACAGATCAGTACGGAATGCAGGGCCTTCTCTTCCAGCCCTGATTTTGCGAACCTGCGCTGGCGAAAGCGCTGGTGGGACAAAAAATCCAATGCGAAGAGCAGCCTCGCAGAGTCACCCTTTTTTTGTTGCGTCGTGCTTGCGGAGATGCCTCACGCATCTAAGTCGATCAAAGCGATCAGGTCATCACCGGCCATGACGAAACCGCAAAGGTACCAAAATGCCAGGTCCCTACTCCGTAGAGGAGGGCCTGACACGGCGGAGAGCTGCGGAGAGCTCTGTCTCTTCGAAAAAAGGCCAGGCCGAGGCCGAGAGATCGGAGTCGAAGTCGACGAAGAGTCGACGAGAGTTTGGCTTTTTTTTGCTTTTGGCGCAATTGCGCCTCTACTCCAGCCTCGAAATGCCTTTTCTGCCCCTTCTGATGAGCAGAGCTCGGCCACTAGCAGAAACCTGTCGAGAAAGCTTCTGATGTTCTTGGATCAGCCCTGGCTGCAACTGTCTACCTGACAGCCTTCACCGTATGTCGCACTCCAAGAACACAAAGGGCTTGAAACACTGATATAAAAATGAACAGCTTCCACTGCCAGGCACCTCCGTTTTTACACGTCGTGCCTGGCTCGCTTCAACAAGCGCATCACCTAAAACCACGACTTTCCTTCAGAAAGCCGAAGCAAACTTACGTGATTCGAGCCTCCTTGAGGCCAAACTTCCTGTGAAAAAGCGGGCCGCGTCGGCAAGCGTTACATGCGTCACGGGTAAGACGGTTACGGTTAGTTGGTCACCCAGGCCAGCCCCCATCTCTCAAGATACTTGGCACCGGTGACTGCAGCACAAGTATGCGCAGGCCTTGGGTGAGTGGGTGCGTAAATTCATGGAAGGGTGGGTGAAGCCCGGGGTGGCCGGCAGCTAGCCTGCCTTTGGCAGGGTCTAAAGCGAAGTGATGATGAAGCTTTCCGTACCACGGCTTTCTGTCTGTGGAGCTGGTGGCCTCTCCAATGCCACGGAGTCCATCATCACCTAACAAACACGAACCAATCCACGTTCTAACTGCAGTCTTCGCTGTCCGATTTGCACAAAGTGTGAGTCAAGTTCATGCAGAGCTGAAGTTGGAGCTCTGTGCAACCAACACACACAGTATGAATCTTCTTCACGTTCTTCCATGCTGGCCAGCTCCTTCGACGCCGACGCATTGCTCGTCGGGGAGACCGGGCCAAGAGGTGATGGTAACGGCGGCGACCGCGGCGACCGCGGCAAAATCGGCGAAAGGGGAGGGGACGCCAAGGTGCTGCCTGTGTGACTGTTGAGAAATCATGAAGAGACATCTACAAGAAATGTCCGCAAACATGCTGCATGCAAGGAAGCTGTGCGTAAGAACATCACTTTGACATCACTACCCCTAGGTCCCTAAGTATCTGCGAGCCGGTCGCTGATACACACGACATCGGTCCTCACTGTAGAAGCCCGACTGTCTCCCCCTTTCCGGCATTTCTTTTGTATCACTTGGAATACAGCTGTTTCTTCGACCCAGGCGCACTTCGGCATTCACATCTGCTCTTTTTTGTGATTCATGGTTTACATGGGTTAAGAGATTTCTGGAATACTGTACACATTCGGAATTTCACTCCGCTCTTGTCCCGAAAAAAAACGTTGCGACATTTAACCAATGCAGTCTGCGCATGGCCTCATAGGGCGCACTCGCACGGTTCGTACGTGGCCGCAATTCCTGTCACGGCGAAAAGTTCGGCCTGTGGCGACCGTGGCGCACAGTTCTCCGAAACCGCAGGGCGTTGTTGCTGCCTTTGCAGTCGATCGCGTTCTCCACGTAAGCTGCGAATCTCTCGGTCACTGGCCCGCAGTTGGTCTCCATGCGCTCCAGGCGTACATTCAGGAGATGAACGCTCAGTCGCCGTCAACTGTTGACCCAGTCCGACACTGGTTTCTCAGCATCCTTGAGCTGCTTCAGCCGGTCCTCATAGGTCTCCTTCTCGGAGTCCTAGGCATCGATCGATGTTCGCCTCATCCACGTCCATAGGATCATCAGTGGCCGCTGAGCCCTCGTTTCTCGCATGTGGCACAAGTCGCCGCCACCATAGACGAACTGTCTCACAAAACAGTCGTTCAGCAGCGATGACGATCAGAACCATCGTCAGCATCCACTTCCAGCCGTCATCGTAGCTGTCGGAAGTCGCCGAAAAGGAGGCCGAGGAGGTCGAAGTAGCTGAGGCTGTAGTGGCCAGCGGTGCCAAACACATGAACCTTGGCTTGACAAATGCCACAAAAGCAGCGGCTTGGAAACCTCCTTGATGAGCTCGCAGTCGTCCATGTCGAAGTGGTGCTCCTCGATCTGGTCCATCTTATAGGTGCACGTAAAGGTGGTCAGGAGCTTCATCATGGGTTCGGCAATCATCGTCTTCGTCAGGGCAGTCATCGACTCAGTAGGCGTCAAACACATCCAGCGGATCCTGCCAGACATTCTGGCCTCTCTGCACGTGAGGTGCATCCTTGCCACCCGAGGCCAGTGAGAAAAAGTCGGCAGCCGGTGTAGGAGTCGATGGGCAAACCGTGCACCCCACGTTCTTGCTCGCAATCAAGCTTTGCAGTCGCGGAGGCTGCGGTGAGTACAGAAGTTCGGCCAGTCTCGCTGACACCAATGTTCGAGCCTCCAGCCCGCTGACTGCAGCCAATGTCTCGGCATGAGACGTGGAGTAACTGATCCACTTGGCCCTGGCACCATTGGACCATGAGCTTCTTCCACCGCGGGCTCGACACTGGTTGTCGTCAAGGACGTGTTCATAGTCCCTGTCGAACTGGCCCACACGCCTACAGTAGCACAACAAAGCCAAAGTACCCTCCTGGGCGTAGTTCACGTTGCCGGCTGCCGAGGAATCATGCACGCTTGCCAAAAGTAGCAGACTCCTGAGCTTCTGAAAGTACAAGCCCCTGCCTTGTCCAGCTTCTTGCCGTGCTCGTCTCACCACGCCGTTGGCCTGTCTCAGATGCGCCACTTTGGCACGGGTGACCAGTGCTTGAGGGTACAGACTTCCACGATGAGATCCAGCCTCGTCGCTGTGAGCCAGAGCAAGCCGCCCAGGATGGACCGGAACATGGTGACTTCGCCCGGCGTCAACATCTCGTCGTCCTTCCTCGTGCTGGCAATCTCGGCCGTTCAACGCAAAGCTGTCCTGAGACATTCTGAAGCCGCCCGGGATCCTCTCGTAAAGCACGCCGCAGTGCAACAACAGTAGTTGTATGTAGTTGTCGTGCCAGCCACTCCTTCTTGCCACCAGCGCCACAATCATCGACATGAGTGGTGACCCGGTGATCAGCGAAGTCGTGCGGCCAGTTCCTTAGTCTCGCCAGTAAAACAGGTTCTCATCCATTAGCGCAGGACTTCCACATTGGGATTCGAAGTGGCCATGGAGACAAAGTTGCCAAGCCAAGGGAGCGTCCGATAGTCCGTACACTGGCTTCAGGCAGAAGAGCACGTAGTCGCCGAGTCTGTTGACGTCGACCTTGAACTTTGCGTCAAACGAGGCGAAATGCCTCCAGGCGTCGGCGGGAGCCACGATGACAACCTTCCGGACCGGAGACCGGACATGTCTCAGCTCTCGGCGCCCACGTCCTCGTTCGCGGACACTGAAAGAAAGATCCTCTGTAACCAGCGTGTCGCGGTGGTGGAGCGGGCCGTAAGAAGGTGGATCCTTCTGCTTGTCGAAGCATCCTCGAGCGTAAAGCCTTGATTTGACCTTCTTGACCCATCTGGAATCCGCTTCCACTTTCTGACCCACACGCTGTCGGTGACGACAGTGTCCGAGGATCTTCTGGAAGCTGGAGGTCTCCACGAACTGCTTGATCTCGGCCGCGTCCGCCTCCCGGATCTGGGGCCATATGTCGTAGCAATCCTCCTCCGTGATGTTGTCGGCCTTGTAGATCTCCCCATTGGCAAGGTTCGCGTAGAGTGCTTCGAAGTGCTTCGCGGGCCAGGTGAAGAGATATGGTCTCTTCTGGTGCTCCGGAATGGGCAGTGAGTCTGCCCCACTGCAGCCAGCTGCACTTTTTGGTCGCAGCCGTACCAGATCATCGGGAAGTCCGCGGGGATAGCCCGGCACCAGTGCATCGCCGAGCGTAGGTTCACCAGGTTGTGCTGTGTCTTGGTTAGCACATGCTCGCCCTTCATGCTTTCCAACAACAGCTCGAGGCGTCCCTTGAATGACTCAGGAGCCAGAACCACAGTTCGGGTCTTCGGCCCCTTCCTCTTGTTGCGGGAAGCTTGTTCTTGAGTGTCGCTGACATCCATTGTTGGTGCCCTGGGCGAGCTGGAAGGAGACGTCGCATCGGATGAGGTAGAGATGCCGCCGAGGACGATGCAGCTGGATAGTTATAAGATCTCCGAGGTCTTCATCCATCTCAACTGACCCTTCCGAGGGGATCACCTTCATCGCCTTCTCGGGTCGATACTCCACCTTCACAAAGAAGTAGATGTAGACAAAGCACACTTTATCCACCGGAATGGCGGTCGTCACCTTCTTCACGACGACCGGCTTGTCGTCGTTGTGCTCCTGATTCGCGTGCTCGGCATCACCTTGGCCCCAGAGAAACAGAATTCCGCAAGACATACTAGTAGCGGGCGGTTGTATTTGTCGAACACCTTCGAGCATGGCTCCTCCAGCGTTATGCCTGGACAGTCCAGAAGCCAGTCTGACGATCTTCGGCCACACCTCGGAGTAGGCAAGAGAACAAATGGAGGCTCTCCTCCAAGTAGTCAGGTCTCCTTAGGTGGGCCAGCGGCTGTGTGCCTTTAGCCGAAACTTTAGCCACTCTCTCCACGTTGAGCCGTTCAAGTTCTCGCCCGGCTTCATGTCCCATGAGGCTTGTCTCTGGATCCATCACCAGTTGGGCAGGTGGCCCAAACACCGAAAACCATGACTCGAACATGCGGTTGAGGAGTTCCTGATATTCTCTCGACTTCACTGCCGTGGACGTCTTATAGCGGGTCGCCTCGTCTATACATTCAAGAGAATCCACGTCTCCTTGTGCGTGAAGAGACCAATCTGCACTCGGTGGTTGAAGGACAAGGCAGCCGAACCAATCTTCACTTGCGGCTTATCGGCAGCCTGGCATGCGTGCGGCAGATGGAGCAGCTCATGACTGCTTCCTCCGCCAAGCGGAGAACATCTGATAACAGTCCAGCTCGAATCAGCATGTTCTTGAAGTCGGTGATTCTCGTGCAGCCCGGAGGAGACGTTTGGCTTTCATCGGGTCATGCTGTATGATGTCACTCTTTAGCCTCTTGTAGACCTTCTTGAAGTCGAAGAGTGGCTTCAATGTTTTAGGCTCTTCCTCTGCTTCCGGCCGAACAGCATCAAATGCTTCTGGTCCTTGATCGTCACCTTCAGGGGCAGGATCTGCTCCTGAAGGTCGTACAGCTGGTTTAGGAGATGCCGCAGAAGATAATCCAGCCGAAGGGGCATTCGAAGAAGGAGCGGCATCGGATCGCGAAGAAGCAGCATTGCTCCCACCATTTCTTTTTCGACCGGAACAGTAGCAGGCCGAGAAGCCGCCGAAGAGGCGCCAGGTACAGAACGGTCCACTTCCAGGTCGTCCTGACAAAAGCCAAAGAGGTGAACGCGCCAATCAAGCTCAGCCACAGGGGCATGCAACTGGCTGTGCGAAAGCACGCATATCCTCTGCCCAAGACACTCATGATCTGTTGGAAGACATCTTGAAACACTCGGAACAGAACTGGGTCAACGAGCCAGTGGTCAAAGTCACGAGAAGTCGTGGCCTGGAAGATCTCGAGGCATGACTCAATGAGCTGCATCATGGCGGCCTTGAAGTAGAGCTGCGGCTCCGGGCGGATCGTCAGAGAAGAGTGCACCTCCAAAGACACTCGAGAGTAGTCGCCGCTCCGAGCCAGGAATTTGAAGGGCCCATCTATGTCCTCAAGGTCAGAACTTGCCATTCGTCAGCAGGAACCGCCGATGGTGCTGAGCCAGAACCTGCAGCAGGGGCCGCTTCAGCAACAGGGTCGACGCAGTGGTTGGTGGTCGTGGTCGTGCATCAAGTCGCGCCTAGGCTTGTCGCATTGACGGCTGTCTATACCGACATTCGCCCGGAACCACTGTGTGCTCGCAACCTGGTGGGGCCGCCAGGGTGGACACGTCGAGGCCTTGTCCGATCCAAGGATGGAGAGGTCCTGAGACATGAGCTGCGTCATCCTCTTGGCGTAGACCGCAGCCAAGGCGGTCCGACAACAGCCCTTGAATATCCTTGAATTGGCCTTGTGTGTCCGTTGCATCGCTTCAGGGTGCGACGCCAGTCGGTTACTGAGAAAAGCCGTGACCTTCCGGATTGGCTTCTGAAGCTCATCCTTGGCATCCAGCACGCATTGATCCAACCGTTGGATGATGCAAACTCCACTGTGATTCAGCGGCTTGGCGATCGGACTGTCTCGCAACATCTCTGAAAGGTGCCTCTCTCCTGGTTGTGCTGACTCAACGACGTATGCAGAAACTCCAACGTGGGAAGCTCGGATCGACGGTCTTCCTCTCGCTTGGCTTTGTCCTGGCTGGCTGCTGCAATCGACCATGGGGCGCAACTCGCAGAGGCAAACACATGGTCAGGTACAAAGTGCTGGTGTCCTTGTTGCAGCAGGGCCTGGTGAGGAGCGTAGCCAAGATCCCAAGAGTATCGGTAGTACACTGGAAATCCCACCATCAATTGTGCCAGCAGAAGACAAAGAGACAACCTTCCAGATGCAGAACACAGCTCCCAAAAACTGAAAACGATGATTCTTTCCATGCCGGCAGGTTCTTAGGCGTGATCGGACGGCGACCGCTTTGGTGTAGAACTCCTCAGGGATCGCCCGGTAGTAGTGACGAGCTCGGTTGCTGCTGTCTTGCGACCAATGATCAGGAAACAACTCCCCGCTGTACCTCGGAAAAAGTTCAACGTCCAAGCCATCACCTCGAACATCCGTAACTGTAACCATTGGCGCCGGCGACTGCTGAGGTAGTGGCGGTGGTCGGGGTCGAAACTTTGTGACACCGACCGAAGATGGTCGTTTTGAAGCTGTTTCGAAGCAGCTGCCTGCCGAGGAGGCACAAGGATCCGAGGATCCTTCGGTAGCCTATGGCGCAGGAGCTAGGCTCCGCTACCAAACTTGTTGTACAGCTGTTTCTTCCACCCAAGCGCGCTTCGGCATTCACATCTGCTCACATCTGTGCTTTATGGTTTACATGGGTTTAAAGTTTAGAGCTTTCTGCAGTACTGTACATCTGCACATTCGGAATTTCACTGCATCTATGTGGTCACTGGGTGTCAAGCTTGTAGAGCCAGTGCTCGTACGGTGGGAGAGGACGTTGTACACGGCCGAGTGCCCTGAGCCAGCATGGGATTGAAATACGCTGGCCAGCCCCATGCCGTCCGTCGTACTTCGTTGAGCCAAGAAACTGGACAACTCAAGCGGCGTCAGTCCTCTATGGTTGCAAACCTAAGTGCTGTGGGCTGGCAGCATTTCAAATCAAATTCGGGTGTGCCTTCGGCAACGACATGCGCCGGCCTGTGGATCAGCGCCTTCATCCAGAAGATAGTCCAAGAGAGCATCACCACCAAACCTCGAGCCCCATCATTCCCCATCCAAATGCCAACAAAGCCCTACCTTGATGTTGAATGCAACTGCTGTAGGAGAAACGGAGGAAACTGTCTTTTGCTGCTAGTAGTGAAGCACGTCAGCTCCCGGATTGGCCGGGGCTCAATGCTGCAAAGCCAAGCGGTGTCGTGCTCCCGTCCCCCATCACTCTCACGATGAGGGGAGGCTCCTGCCAACCAGAAAAGGTGGGCCTCTGGTATAAGTGTCCCGAACACCTACAACTCGTGGGGAAGGACAGTGTGTGCGGGCGGGGTGGTGACAGCTTTGTTGAAACAGTTTTTTTGTGTTTTGGGGTGCAGTTCACAGACCCGGTCCCACTGCGCCAGTGCTCTGCCGTTGTGGCTGGCTGTTGCACTGCTTTGGGTGCCTCTGGCATGCTCGCTCTGGACACCGATTGCAGTAGCATATGTGGCAGAAGGCGTCTGTTCGAGCTCCGATTTCGGACAATCCTCAAGGGTTGTGGTCAGAGCCATTGTGTCCAGCGTCTCGGTTTCGATGATACCTTCAGCATTCGTTGCATGCGACTCATTGCCTCGGAGGCTTGGGGTAGCATGTCTTTCTGGGTTTAGAAGGGTGCTGGCTGCTACTTCTTTTGTGGCTGCTAAGGAGCCCCCCCCGCCCTTCCTCATGATTAGCTCACACAGCAAGCTCGCCGTCACAAGCGTTTTTGTTTCGATTTCATAAGGTCAGCTCACCAGTGCGGCAAGCGCTTTGCCCTACAATATCTGAGCGCCTCTCTGGAGCAGGCACTGTTATCCGGTTTAGGCCTCCCTTGGACACCTCTCTGCTCCATCAGCCGTCCTTTCGAATGCGCATAATGAGCCGGCAGGTAAGCTCGACGGACCGAAACAGCAGACCGGCCTGGGGGGAAGAGCCGAGAGATTCACTTTCCGGATAGTTACAAGGCATCCAGCCTTCGCCCGGCAATCGAGGTCTGCCCTGGCGGCGATCAGCATCTCTGCTACCTTCCTTAGCTCACAAGAGAGGGTCAGCAGGGCAAAGAGCCAGCAGTGCTCAAGTCCAAGATGCAAGGAGTGAGGATTTCCGTGAGAGTAGATGGCTAAGGAGTGGAGTGGTGTCAAGCCGATCCCACCTACAAGGCAGCAGGGCGACGAGAGCGCACTCTCTGGCAAGGCAAACCCCACGCTCCACGAATGCTTTGCCATGTGTCCTATCCTGACCCTTGCAGCCTTACAAGGGGCGGGACTGACCGGGAGCAGAAGACATCGGGGCGCTGCGGCTGGCGGGTTCTGCTTTCAACAGGGGAAGTCTTTCGTGGTGCTTCCTGACATAGAGCGCTTCTTTCCCAAGTAGAGTTCAAGCAACTCTCTGTCCAAAGCTATCAGAAATGCGGGCATCAATGACCTCCAATACCTAGCCGCTAGCCTAGCCCGACACTTGCTCGATCTTCCAAACAGCCCTGTATTTTGGCTCACCTCGGGCCTTTCATCAAGTTCACGTCGCCGCGCAACTCCAGGAGCTTTGCGACCACAGCAGGTTCGGGACACCGGAGGCATGCCTTGTTTTTCAACGACCCTCTCCTGCTTTCGAGGACTTCGGTTGATGCTTCAGTCCAAGCCGCCAGAGTCAGAGGAGTTGACATAGTCAGCGGCTTCATCTGATTGATGTCAGCCCGGTACTGCACCTGTGCAGGCCCTTTGTCTTGTAAGTGCGCCGGCAGCTCAGCTTCGATTCAGCTTTCATGGCAATGCAGAACAAGCCAAGCAAGCACGCCTTCGGGTACTCGGACCCCGAACTCATGGAATGATGATGTGATTGTAGGGAGGCCCCGGCCACAGCTAACTTTGCTCCACTCATCCCAGTGATGTGGACAGATTCAGCTCAACACCTGGTCTACATCTACATCTTATCCTACTTACGACCTTGAGGACTGTGACAATACCCTGCGCTCGGGCAGGACCACAGCGCAGAACCACTGCAGGGGATGTTGTGGCACAGTACACGGTACCGTATGATCCTGAACAAAGCACCACACCACACATGAGGATACATGAGGTATGTACCGTCTTTGGTATCGTATGCCTCCGTCTGGCACTCGGCGACACGTAAGCAAAAAGAAACCAGAGGCGAGCCAAATGCAACGAAGCTACGAGGAGCTCGATTGCACGTACGCTCTCCTCGGCGAATGGACCGCAACAGCAAAGATATGGACTTCGTCCTGTCATGGCCAGCGCTGCTGGTGTGCAGGCAGGACTCGCAAGTCCCGAGAATAGGATGCCCCAACTTGTTCACTTTGTTGGGATCTGCTCCTCAGTGCAACCGCACTCGTTCCGTCTCCGCGTCCATGCGCTTCCAGGCTTTCACTTGCCGAATCAAAGAGAGGTTTATGTCTCGGTTGCTTCCTCGCTGGATTTAGAACTCGGGGCTTGCCAAGATGCGGAGCTCCAAGAGTGCCGCTACCGCCTCGGCATCCTCGTCGTCCCGCACGCCCGCGAGATGTAAAGGCGTCCAGTCCTGCCGGCAAGCACTTTGGCGCAGTTCCAGCAGCCAAGACCGTGACCTCTTGGGCTGGTGCAACTGATGACCGAAGTGCCCCAAGTGCCCGTTGTCCGGCAGCACGTCCAGCTCTGAAATCTCACGCAGCTTTGTGTCCATGGGAGCTTTCGCCTGTCAGCTGGCAGCTTCTTGAGCTCGCCCAAGAACCGGGTCTTGTTGTTCTATCTGCTCGTTTCTCAATCAAAAGACAAGCATGTCCTCTCCAGCCTCTGCCAGTTGCCGGAGCAACCCCGCGTCACCGCTCAATGCTGCGCAGGCCATAGCCTCCGAGCTTCCACACTTGAACTATCTTGAACTGCATGGCATTGCTTTCACGATCTCCGCCCTCGACGTAACAAGCTCGCCGATCTGCCACGACTTCAAGGGCATCAAGCGTGCGTTCGCGTCGAGTGGTGTACGAAGGCTTCGTAAGTGTCGGGGAAGGATCGCGAGCAGAGGTTACAGGTCTTGCGAGCATCGAGCATCAAGTCTTGTCCACATGTACCCACGGGCAGAAATTTCGCACTGGCCGCTCGTGTAACCGAGACACTCCCATGCCTTTCTTCTGCTTCACCGCAGCCTTGCAGAGGTTCTGCAGGCTTACTACAGCAAATCGCTGGCTGAGCTTCCCAGCAGGTAGCATACCCCGACCTACCCGGCTTCCGCCTCAAACCAAACTGACCAAGCTCGCAAGAGCTGTGCCTCCATGGATGGAAAGTTGAAGTAGCTGAGAAACTCGGGAAGACTCCTCACAAATCCAGAGCACTCATAAGAAGCCGTTGTCTTGTGCCCTTGGCGGCAGACCAGTGCAGCTGCCAAACCATCGGAACCCCACTACAGCATTGGCTTCGAGGCTGCACATTGGGTGTCGGACCAAGTTGGCTCTGGTGGGCGGCTCGTTGTTAGGACTCATTCGAAGCTTGTCGCGTAGTTTCGAAACAAGTGCTGTCACGACCTCTGGATGGCCGGGTCAACATAATTTCGATTCGAAAAGAGCAGGTGTAGACTGTGGACACCTCTTGGTGATTGTGGCGACGCCGCGACACAGGCTCCCTCTCACAGGCACAATCGTTTCCACGCCAGGGCAGAACCCAATCCGGTCGCATCAATATGTTACGTTGTGGCACTGTAACACGACATGTATGGGCTTCTTGGGGTGCTGACACAGCAAGTTTGCTCCGGCACGACTCCTTCGCTTCTTGGGCAAGCCGAGGAAATCTGTATATCTTGCAGCGAAATATCGGTAGATGTCCTGGGCAGCGGGGGTTTACACACGGCTTCAAAGGCACTGGGGGACGAAACACAATTGCAGGGATTGACTGGCCAAGAGTCCAAGTTCTTCTGCCTGGACAGCCTTGCCAGCTTGTAATCCAGGGCTTCCTGGATGAACTTGCACACAGCCTGGGCTGGAATCTAAACATGGAAACGCAGCATTATGGCACAGAAGCCAAGGTGCCACACGATCGCTCTCCAACGAGAAGGTGCCCTGCAACACCGGTGCATGCAAGATGTCTTCCCCCTCGGGGCCTACGATGACCAAATTGCCGAACAGTATTCACTGGGCCCCGGCCTTATGAACTGGGGACTTGAGCCACTGCATCGGCATTGCAAATTCCACCTGGTCGGTTGAAGTGATCACCTCAGATATCCCAAATATCGGCGGCCCCGCACGGCTTCTTGCCGCTGCTACCTACTCCAGCGGTCCCAGGCAAGCAACTACGATGGGTATGTCGGACCTGTTCGAAAGGAGCTTGCACCACATCTCTGCACGGCACCATCCCCGGTTCCTTGCCGCCATTCGCATGTTCATGTTCAGGGCTTGACTCACGACTGGACTGTGGCACTGAGACAGATCAAACAGCAGGCCCTAAATTCGTGAGTCCTACAGTCCTGTTTTCAGGTTTCTGGCATCCATAGCACCACGTCGGTTCTGATTGCGCTGGTACCGTTCACGCGAAGGGGCTTGGGTACTATGGCCGGTGCGAAGGCCGGCAGCTGTTGAGTTTAAGGTCGGCCCCAGGATGTCGGCTTGGATTTGGGCCTGAGACCTTCGGCTTTAATTACTCGGGCACTGGCCAGGCAGACAGCGCAGTGTCTACTCACTCTGGTCACTCTAGTCAGGTCTTTCGGGAACGCCAAGGCTCAGCCAAGTGAAGTAGCTGCAAAACTCCTGGGTGTCTCGGTGCATTTGCTTTGGCACCACGGCCGCGAAGATCCTCAAGGAGCCAGGCAAATTGCATGCGTTTGCCACAGCCGCGCAGGGGCGTCAGCAACTGTTGGAAGCGCAACGCAAAGCGGAAGAACACTGCGAAGAAGAAACAGAAGCGAGAAGAAAAAATGGAGAGGGCTACAAGGAGCAAGGGACGTCTGCGCTACAACGGTGCGGTCAAGCTTCTGACATGCTTCCACGTAGAGCGGGATAGAACGGATGCAGCGGCCTGTCTCGACAAACGCAAGCGACAAGAAAATTCGGCATTGGCAGAGTCAGGCTTCAGACTCGAAGCGAACCAAGCAACCTGCTTCCTCTCGAACTCGCTCACGATCTACAGTGTCGGTCTCATGCACTATCTGCGGGACGCAAAACCAGTCCATCCACAGGTACGCCTAAGTATGCAGAATCGGCAAGATAGCCCAACCTGTCCATCTAGATGACCTTTCGTTCCGCGACAGCTGGGAAAGACATGCGGCATCCTTCAACTTCTTGCGGTACTCGGCCGACAGAGTCTTCATGTGGCCGAAGAACTGCGAAGTTGCATCCTCAGCATGGCATCAGGCAACCACACCTACCATCCTCACGTGCTGTTTATTGTTTGCCCCCGAGCAGGCAAGACCTGCACGGCCACATGCCATCAACAGCTACACTGGGGCAGATGTGTCTGAAATTTTCTGAATCCTGATGCGAGGTGTGGAGAACTCAATAGTGTCGCCCGTTGCACACGTCTTTCAGGGTTGGTCTAAACCAATTCGCAAATCGAATCTAGTTTGGAGGATTGATCCGACACCAACCACTGCTCATGCTTTATGCAATCCGTTCGTGCTCATCATTGCTGTTTCTTTGCCCGTCACCTAGCTGTAAGGGAAGCAGATCACAGACTAGAGAAGCTCTGGGACTTTTCCTGTGTTCCCAGTCGCTGTGGTAGTGGATTATTTTTCAAGTTGAGCGTCCAACTCCAGCTTGATGCTGCCATCGAGCACGTTCTTCAAAGCCTTCTGGAAGATGCGAAACTGCATCCCACGACAATCCGGATGATCATCTCAGCGCTATGCACCGTCACAATAGCTGCCAGATGCAAGGCCCACCGCAACAGCTGACAGCGTCACTCGACTCGATGCAAGTCCAGACACCGCCCAACCACTGATGCGACACCTCGATCGCATCTTGGCAATCGGCTGCCCAAAAACGAATCTGTGCCGCTCTACTGCATGGTCCAGCAGCGAGCGTCTGCTCTGTCTGCCGGGTACATGTTTTTCAACTGGCATCACATTTCAGTATACCTAGCTTGCTGAGCTTTCCAGGCCGAGTCTTAGTGAGCTGTCTGAGCCTTTCTGAAGCCGGTTTTGACACTGACACACATAGCATGTCCCGCATTTCAATTTCCTCTCTGCTGCGGCAGTGCGTCAATATTCAATCTACCTGGGGCATCGGCAAAGATGGTCAAGAAGCTGGGCGAGTGCTTGACCAACAAATTGGACTGCCGAAGCTCCTGGTGACCTGCAAATTTGCGTAGAAAGGCCAAGAAGCACGCTTTTGGCTCTTTGATGCACGCATATCGCAGCACATGCACTGACTGACAGCCCCACATTTCGGAACGCCCCGCATCTGGAGCACATCGCTCACCTTCCTTACAACAGCGGCAGGAAATTGCACCAGCAGGAAGAACAGCCTTGTCCCATTAGGGACGTGCGACTCGCATAAGATGCTCCCGCGGAGAAGACAAAATGCTTCGGCGACATTCGAGGCAGCGGAGGCTCACGACCCACATGTCTGCCAGCTGCTCGTGCAAACCCTGGTCATCCTCCTCTGCAGCCTTGTCAGCAGCCTTGTCAGCAGCGAAGCAAGGTTGGGCCTACTGCTGCGGGCAGCCGAAGAAACAGCTTGGAAGGATGTACTAGTAAACTAGTAACTAGTACGAGGAAAAACCTAGCGTTGGCGTTGCTCTGGATCTTCAGCAAGTTGCTCGGGAGGACTGGCAGCAAGCCCCCATGGCTCGCCGAACCGCCAGTGGGAGCTCCCGTTTGGGAGGATCTCACCGTTGGTTAAAACTGAAGTAACTCAGTCCAAGAGCACACCCAGGTCAGGCCCACCTGGCTAAATGGCTGCAGAAGGCACGGCTGGATGGCACCGGCACGCAGAGCAACAGCTGGCACTTCAGAGATGCCATTTTCCTGGAGCAGCCCTCGACCCAGCCGGCTCAAGCTGGTCAGCATGGTCTGCAGCGGCCCGCGTCGCCCTGGCAGGTCTGTGTCTGTGCGGCCGTGGAGACTTGTGGGATCGATCGATCGGCCTGCAAGCTCGCATGCCGAGAGGACCTCCCAGAGCAAGACCGATCAAGACGCTCACGCGGGCCGCCCACGAGCTGCAGCCGAGGAGCACTGCTGCAAAGTATCACGTCCCCGCCAAGCACCGAGTGCCAGTCGCCTCTGCAAAGCACTCTTCGTCGATGAAAATACAGGTTTCGCACGTGCTTTTCGTCATAGTTGTGACGCTGCACTTGGCATTAAGAAAGTTTATTGCGGCCTCTTTCTGATCTACCGGAGCCTGCCTTCCCGAAGCTCGGCAGTGAGCTGCTCCAGGAGTGTTAGTGCGATCTGCCACTGATGAATTCGTCCACATACACTCGCCAAAGAGCTGTAGGTGATCCTGGGACATGCAACCCAGCTTGCACATATCCGAAGCCGCAAGCAATCGCATGTTCTGCCCGACCTGTTCGCACGAAGACGTCGTTGTGGGAGCTCCCCGGCCAACGCCAACGCCAGACGCCAGTTCCCGGAAGGCACCAAAGAGGCTATGACCTGAGATACTGTATCTGCAGCATGTTCGCAACGGGAGCAAAGAGCGAAGCACTCAAGACTCAAACTTCGCACATTGGCACAGCGGCAAGCAACGCTGCATGCAGTGCCACAGCATTGGATGCAATTTTCAGTCGGGCTTTTGGTCAAAATCTATGCCTGGGTGCAGCATTGTAGGAGACCAGATCCGGCGTGTGCTGGGAGCAGAGGTGCTGAAACATGCGGATCGCCACCTGCCAAGCCTTAGAAGGCCCAACTTGGAAGACCCCTGCCATCCCCTGTCACTTCGGACAGTTCTTCACACCTATCATTACGCGAAGTCTCAGCTGCGATTTCAACAATACGTGCACCCACGGCTGCTGCTTGTGAGTTGCCCGAGCTGTTGACTCCCACCTACGATTACAAGCCATAAGTCAATAAGAGCCTCGTAAGCTCTACACATCTGAAATTCTGCAATGCTGCATTTTTGCTTTCCCGTGCAGGTTTGGCCTGTCACCACCCATCGCTGCAGATTTTTGTTGTTTCCGGCACTCCCTTCTCATCTTGGTGGGTGCTGGCCATGGTGGGAGTGGCGGCGGTGGATTGTTGTGCAGCCGATGTTGCGCTGCTGCCCTCCGGTCCGACCCGAAAGCTTAAGGGTCGCGGACGCTTTGCAAGGGCCCTTCATGCGAATCTCATGCGTGAGCGACGGAACAACAGAAGGGTTCAACCACTACTGATGTTTAGACATGCAACATCCGACAGGAGGCCAGAAAGAGACGCACATGCGATTGTACGGCTCAGACTTTGCCTGGTAGGGGAGTGTGCAGTCCAGGACAAAGCAGATCAAAGCAGAACATAAGAAGCCACTGGACAAGCACAGGCCGCACACGCTAACCAGGAAACGGCCTCAGGCATGATTTGACCCCGCATGTCAAGTTTTGCGCCGAGCCGCATTGCCGGAGCAAGCATCCAGAATGGCGTTGAAAGTGATAAGGTCCTGAGAAGATTTTGGAACTTCCCACAGCGGCAAACCACACGAGCTTTGCTGCCACAAGTATTACTACATTGCATCTTCAAGTGGCCACAGACCGGAAAAGGCCACTGACAGAAGCAGCCCGGCCATGCAACGAAGGAGCTGTGAGAGTGTCGTCGGAGTCTGCAAGAATCTGCAAGGTCTGACAGGGAAAGCATTGGCCAACTCTGCATGAAGATGCCGGAACTCGCTGTGTGCGCGCCTGCTGCCATTTCTCCGCTTTGCCGCAGGCAGCGATGGATGAGTTGATGGTGATTGCCTTGGGAATTGCAAACACTTGCCGGGAACAGCAGGATCCAGCATGTCCACGTTGGCTTCGTCATGTGTGACGATTTCATGACGTGTAGCTGTGAGTGCGCACCAGGAAGCAAACATAAACGTCACCTTGAGCACCCCTCATGTTGGCCTCGGCTTCCTTACTGTGAACTTTACATGTCTACTTTAGTCAGACTTGCACATGTCAGCTATACAACTTGGCTGAATGTTCCTTCCCGATTGATTTGACTGATTTTGACTGTCGACCGAGCGACCCACTCTGACACGAGAGTCAGGCTGAAAGCAAGGTGGCACTATGTTGCCGCGCAGGTGCGTTGGTTCGAATTGTCTTCGACAGGAGCTCCTGCAGCTCAGGGACATGTGCTGTGGGGATTGTGAAGAAGTCCATGGCCTAGCAGCCGTCAGAAACTCAGGGAGAATCATCGAACATTCCAAAAGGCAAGAGTAATGTCGGTTCTCTTCAACAAGGCATGTCCCGTTCTATTCCACTCCCGAGGCAGGGCATCTCTTCACCTGCAGGCTGCTGAGGCAGCTCTGCCACTGCGCGAGGCTTCCACAGGCTGCCATGAGTGCATTGCATGGCGCGACCTGAGTCCGTCAGAGCATTGCTGCTTTCTTACTCCCATTGTCCATAGTGTTCAAACAAAGATTCAATCAATTCAAAACCACAGTCAGATGCCGATACATACATGTCGTCGCAGGCAAAGCGCAGCAGATGCGTCGGTGATCTGAGCCGCTGCCTCGCAGACTCACGCAGCTGGGCAGCTCACCGTCACACTCCACTGCGGCAGATATTGATCCCAGTTCTACATCCCCTCGCAACCAGCAAAAACAGGACAAGACCGTGCCTGCCACTGGTGAGCCCCAACGCCCTGGCATTGATGATGATTGGGGCTTCGCGGGTGATGCAGTCTTTTACCACTGACTTGGTGTCAGCTACAATTACAAACTACAGAAATCAACGATCATGGAAAACAGACGTTCTCAAGGCTTCTCATTGCATCTTCTGGCGGTCTAAGCTGACCCGCTGCTTATCCCTGTACCCTCACTTCCCCGAGCACCGCGACGGCGCAGGTGATCGAAACCACACTGGTCTGCCTCAAATGTAGCAAGTGTTGGAGATGGGCAGCATATATGGGCAATGCACCACAGAGGAACAAACCCCTCTCTTCCTCATTCGACCAAGCTTGAAGTAGGTTCCAGAGTAAAGAGACCTGTAGGACGATGGAGTGGCCCTTTTCCATGACTCTGCTTCCAAGCGAGAAGATACGGTGCTGCAGAGCAGCAAACCTGCGGCCACAAGATCACCAAAAATCACCTTGCAACACTGGCGCCGGAATGTCATGGTCTAGTAGCAGGTGCGATCTGCCAGCACACTTGGGGCCCTAGCAAGAGCCCTCTTCCAAGCCATGCCTAGAGCGCCGTCAATCGCAGAGTTGTAGGTGATGGTATTCGCCTCCTCGGCTGGGTCGCAACTTAGAGAGTTCAGGCAACTCCCTGCACGCCGTGCTCAGGAAGATGTGGCAGGATGCGACGTGCCTCTTGCAACTGGTGCCAATGTTAACAAGCTCGCTGCTTGCGAGACTCCACTCGCTTCTCTTGAAGAGCGTAGAGCAGACGGCAGGCAGACTGCCAACGCCCAACCTCGCCATATACGTTCATGGCCATGCAGACTGTGTCCACACGCGGCGGAAAGATGCCCGAGTCAACGACTATGGACGATGCCGCCTCCCACTGCTGGCTGCTCCCGCATGCTGCAAGCAGTGAGTTGAAGGCGATGCGATCTGCCTGTAGGCCGTGATACTGGATATCATGGAAAATCTGATGCACCACCATCCATTGCGGTGTGCTCTGGCACATGGTCATCAGGGAATTGTATGTGACAATGTCAGGGGACAAAAGGGTCCTTGCCATGTCAGCCAGCACTGCAACGCACTGCCACCAGTGACCACCTCTCCCACATGCACTGAGAATCGAATTACAGGCTTGGATGTTGACCTCGGCGTGAATTCCAAACTGCAGGCAGCAGGGGCTTCATACTTTGAATATGCACTATGCAAAAAACAACAAAATGCTTGAGGCGACTGGGTACCCTGATTTGGCTGAAAGCAATTTGGGATGTCACCCGGAGCGCTGTGCCCCATCGACTCATTTTGCCACATGAAGAGAGCAGTAGGTTTGCAGTGACCGGATCTGGCTGGTTTCCTGCTCAACTGGGTAAAAGCACAAGGTCTCACTCCAGAGAAAATTTCCGAGCGCTGCCTCGATCTCGCACTCGATTCTGGAGGGAAAGCGTCTGTCGCCACTGCGCCGTAGCAGAACAGCTGCCGATGACAGAATTGTGAACGATGATATTGGCTCTCACGTGCAGAGGCACCTAGCAGCGCGAAGCCTAGCTCTTGGGCCCTCCTGTTGGCCATAAGCTGAATCGATACCAGTCCTACGACAGCTCCTGTAAGCGATGCGCCGTGTGACAGATCCAGGCGAAAGCTTGCTCCCAGTAATTTGCAACGGCAATGCCGGAGGCCGTGGTGACTGCATCCTTGGAACACGACAAGCTCAAAGAGGACACAAGCTGAAGACTATTTTGCGCCTTGCAGCCAAGGGGCTGGAGACATGCCACTGCTAGCAAGCTGCTCCAGGAAGGCTGTTCCACGGCGCCAAGTTTGTCCTTTGCCTGCTTCTGGCAGACATTGACATTGAGCATCTTGTCTTCCCACCCAATGCATCCCTTCGACCCTGCAGCGCAACAAAAAGTATCCTGCGACTCTGCATAATACTCCCCGTTGAAGGTAGCTACACCAGGGCCGCAGAATTAATTAAAGTTCTTTGTTTTTTTCTGGGACTTGTTCTGGTTTTCCGTTTTGTATTACAAGCCTAGGCGAGGGATTATATTTGGCCTACTTTTTTGGGGAGGGGACTTCAGACCTGTGACTTGCATTCCTAGACATGTGGCTGGAACGTGTTTGTTTTCGGTTTTGGGGTTCAGGCCCAGCTGGCCGGGCCTCGGCGCAACAGCTAACTTCGATTTTTTCTGGGATGGGAGGGGACTTGAGACATGTGGCTGCGATGCTTAAACATGTGGCTGGAATTGTATTCATGGTCAATTTCGGATTCTTTTCAGAAGAGGTGAGCTCGGACATGTGGCTGGAATGCCCACACGCGGCTGGAAGGTGTTTGTCAGTTTGTTCGGGGTCGAGAACTTACATTGGAGCTTAGGCAAGTACATCAACGGCAGTAGAAATTCATGCGATTTCGCTGGAAGCCACCATGCAATACAAGAGCTTAACAAGCACCTGCGCGATCCTGTGCGCGAGATGATGTGCTAGGCTGTTGCACTGCACAAACAGTCTTGAATTTATCTACACCGCAGCTCGGTCGTGACTTTTGCTGCCATTGTCAAAACCTCTACACTGCGGAAAACATACTGTAATGGTCAGCGATGAATATGAAACACTCCAGGCAGATGTAGCTCAAGGCTGGAAGAGGGCAGAATTCCGGTACGGCGGCAAGCGCTTCAAGAAATGTGCTTTACATAACGCCGTGCTAAGCTCTCGCATGCCTCAGCCCATGGATCCATGTATTTCATCGGGTGAGTCCTTACCTGTGGCCTCATCGCCTCATGCGTTAATACGACTAAGTACGACTTGTGCGTCGGACGGCAGAAGCGGGGGCCATTTGCAAACACACTGTTCGAATGGTGAGTGTAGGGGTTTCAAGTAGGTTCATACAATGCAGGGTGCATTTCAAAAAGACTCATATGCTTTCAAGCACGGCTTAAAACAGCGGGGGCCCCTCCATTTGGAAACACAATGCTCGCGTGGTTGGTGTTCAAAAAAATCATATGATATGCTGTCAAGCAAGCTTGCACAAGCGTGGGGTTGGGGTGCAGACCCCCGCATTAGCAAACACACTGCTCGCATGGTGAATGGCGGGGTTTCCATAAGACTCATATTATATGCTCATATTATGCATGGTGGGTTTCAAAAACGGCTCATAGGCCATAAGCTGTCAAGCAAGCTTGCACACGGCTCAAAACA